ATGATTGTACCCTCCCACGTGCAAGATACAAAAATATACCCCAAATACAGTCATAACCAGCTCTGCGTATGTCAAGTTATTTATCCTTTTAACAATTGCTTGCCTTTCTTAGCTAAAAAACGCTTTTGTTATTTTTAAAAAAAAAAGAAACTTCCCTACATAAAGAAGCTTACAGCTGTTTATGAATGACGCTCAACAAAAATAGTTCGGCTTTGCACATTGAATGTCCTTTTCTTGTAAGATTTTTTAAATTAAATCTGGGTGAACACCCCTTTCAACAGAAAGAAGTTATTTAAGCGGTGAGGCCTCTGAGTATGTCGTCTCTCTTCGATAAAACCAATAAGTCAGTTAGGTTGAGGGCACAACAACTCTTCAGAGAGGATTCGAACCAAGGTCATCCGCTCCTTAGACAAACATGATACCAACTGATCTAACGGAGCAAACTCGGCCTCAGCGGTGAAGTGGTTTGGTTCTACGCCGAGTACGTCCCTTTTGGACTAGTTTATGTAATATCCGATTACTTTGGGACCAGTTGAACAGGTAAAGGAATGTAGTAGGCCCTAATCAGGCGGAATAACGATTATAATAGTTATTAAAGACATCGAATACAAACTGGTCAATAAATGTGAAAAAGTGAAAATCTTCCTAACCTACGTATATGAATTTGAGAAGGCTTTTTTTGGTTTTGTTTTAGACTTAAGGTGACCTATCCCATACGGAGAGAGTGGCTGGGGTGGGGTGGAAGAGTGGGGGGGGGGGGGATTTACACACACTATGTGCACACATTCAAAGGTGTGTCAAAAAAAACGGACGAACAGAAGGAAGTTTAACTCAGATGCAAAATGACATAAAAGCAAAGGATTAATTTATCCTGCTAGATAGATAGATAGATAGATAGATAGATAGATAGATAGATAGATAGATAGATAGATAGATAGATAGATAGATAGATAGATAGATAGATAGATAGATAGATAGATAGATAGATAGATAGATAGATAGATAGATAGATAGATAGATAGATAGATAGATAGAGGTGATCCAAAAAAAAACACTTTACAACAAATTCAGTAAATATTTCCCTCCATACTGAAGTTTTAAGTTTCAAATTTTAACACAATACTGTATTTGGAAGCCAAAAGGAATTTGTCTGATATTCATTTTAGATAAACCTAGTTCCACAAAATGTTTTTACTTTATACTGCGCCTTAAAAAAAGAAAAACTAACCCATTTTCAGCCTTGTCCCCTTTTTGTAGTATGACGCACCAGCCAGTACACGTTAGGCCTAAAACAAAAGGTTGCAACGATCACGCCATAATATTATAAGCTACTGCAGTCTAACAATTCACAACAGTTTTCAGACATCGTTGTCCCAAATTTTCTTTGTCTGCTGAGCTCATAGTTTAGCTTAGTAAAGAGCAGAGGGTTGTTTTTTTTGTATTGAACATTACCTCTCCACCAACTCATCATCCCTGAAATTTCGTAAGTTCCGTGGACAGTATGGAAAGAATGTAAAAGTGCCCTCAAAATCCTCGGAGTCATGACCAGAGAATTTCAAACATTTGGGATCTATAGCGAATCAGAACTAAAAATCCCAAACAAAATGACCACTTGAGGTCGAGCATGTACCATTTGATGCTCTTTAGCGTCACCAGGGTGCAGATTTCAGTAGTCGAGTCCCTAAGACGTCTGTCCGCAGACGATGTCTGCAGCTAGGACTTTCTTACACCTCAACCGTCTGCATTCTCAAGACAGATCTTAACCCACGACTGTATCCTTTTCATGTTCCATAACCTCACGAGTACGAGTCCGATAGACCTAGTCCAACCACTAGGCCACTGACCACGTGACATCTGGTCTCGGGGCACCATGAGGTAATCCTGAGCTGCAGTTGTCGCTCTTTGTTTTCTGTCCTTTTTTTGTTTTGTTTTGTTTTTGTTTGTGTTTTTTGTTGTTTTGATTTTTTAATTTTTTAATTTTAAATTTTTTTAAACATTTTTTTTTGGGGGGGGGGGAGATCCTTTGTCGTGTTGGTGGCTCTTGACCAGTTCTTCAGTCTGTAGATGTTGGAGACAAACATGTATACTATACAGTTGCCCCATGTTAAGCAGACTCGCCAGCCTGTAAAAATCCAAAATCTCTCTCACGAATTTCTGATGAAAGTCTCAGCATCTTGATACTGATACTGCTTTGGTTTTCAAACGTAGTCCGTCTTTCGAGGCTTCAAATTTATAGGCCAGGTTTAAGCGACGTCATGAACACAAACCCACTACCGTACTCGAACGAGGTGACAAGTGAGTACCCGTGAGCTGGGCTATTTGCTTAGTTGTTTGTTGCATAATCGACAATCGGGGCAATGCATTCATTGTTCGAATGAGGCCAATCTAGCAGATTGAGACCATGCTTTAATTTGAATGGAACATAATTTTTTTTAAAGTACCCACCTATGGAAACTTCCGGGTTTTTTGTGGGGGGTTTTTTGTTGCCTCTGATTAAGAGGGAGAGAGAGAGAGAGAGAGAGAGAGAGAGAGAGAGAGAGAGAGAGAGAGAGGGGGGGGGACAGACAGACAGACAGACAGACAGAAAGAAAGATATATATATATATATATATATATATATAGAGAGAGAGAGAGAGAGAGAGAGAGAGAGAGAGAGAGAGGGAGAGGGACAGAGAGAGAGAGAGAGAGAGAGAGAGGGGGGGGAATAGACAGACAGACAGACTGAGAAAAAATTCAACAGCAACTCATAGATTGTAATGCAAATTAACTTTTTTTTAAACATAAACGCCCGCTAGGAGTTACTACATGTATAACTACATGTATAAATTTAGGCCTAGCATGACTCATGAACAACTGGAAGCGAAAATTACCAGTGGGGACCGGATATTTTTCTGACGCAATGCCATCTTTTACCAAGGACCATGCCTCTGTTCGTCGGTTGCTGCGCTCAATTTCTTTTCTTAACTCAATAACAGGCCTCCTTTCTCAATCTCCGCTTTATTGTATTATTTCATGACATTGTAGACCGCTGTCGGATTTTCCATTTTCAAAGTAATGTATGATGTACGTAAGCTTTCCTTATTTCTGTTGCCTCTATTTTGGCCTGTAGCGCAGAACTCATCATCGGATCTGGTTGTTTTTTTGGTGATTCTGTTTGAGTTACCAAGGTACGGTACTCGAGTCTTCTTTGGATGATCTCTGAGAGCATACTGCTCGGTGTGTCAGTGCTTTCAGGACACTTGTATTTTGTTCTTTTACTTTTATCTGAACATCTGACCCAAAGCAATCTCATATATATATATATATATATATATATATATATATATATATATATATATATATATAACCACATTTCTGGATTTTAAAATATTTTTTGTCGTTGGTCTTCTTTTTAATACCCGTACCTCACATAACTAATAGCCATTATATCGGACTTTTCAAGATTCTAACTTTGAGTTTTCGGACCGGAGGTCCCGCCTCTTTAACTTAAATAAAAACCCAGTAAAGGGATCTTTAACATGCACAACTTGCATACGGGACCTCCGAGATTTTTCGCCCTTGTCCGAGAAGGCTGGGTGTAGATTTTTCCCTCCAGAAGATCAGGGGTGTGGCTGAAAGACAACTGTAAGAAGGAGACAAGGGGAAGCAGTAGAAAGGCTACAGAAAGAGTCAGAAGCCAAGAGGAGGGGGCAAAGGAGGTGAGGGAGTGGAGGCAGAAAGTGGAGACGAAAGCAGACGACAGAACATTGCTAGAGAGCAGGAAAGGAGGTAAAAGAACACAATTTTGGAGAAGAAAATGTTTCCGTCGTTACCCAGATCGAACCCGGGACCTTTGAATGAGAGGTGAACACCTTACCTTTAGGCCACGAGAGCCCTCATTCATTGTTCGATGGTGTTGAACTTTTCTAACATTCATTGTTTGATAGAGTTGAACTTTCCTCACATTTACTGTTTGATAGAGTTGACCTTTCCTTACATTCATTGACCAGCTTAATTCCGAAGCTGCTAAATCCGCTAATAAAGTCTCTATAATGGTTTTTTCACTCGAGTAAATAAATGTTCCTATGATTCAGCTAACGTACACTGGCCTAAGAGAAAAAGAGACATAAGTACCCTTCTACAAGAGCCCCCCCCCCCCCCCCCGAAAAAACACAAAAAACATGGAAAAAGTAATCCATACAAGATGGTTGAGATGGATTGGTCACACACTCCGAAAACCAAAAGCCAGCTTCACATGGCAATCGCTAAGCTAGAATCCGCATGGGAAAAGGAAAAGAGGTCGATCAAAGACCCCATGGCTCCGAGAAGTGGCAGGAGACACAGGGAGGCTGGAATAAGCTATGTGTGGGGATAATTACAGAAACTGGCTCAGGATCCAGAATTTTTGGAGCGCTCTTTGTTTTTAGCGGCCTATGTCCATGACGGGGGACCTCAGGCCTACTTGTAAGTAATCACTTTAATTAATGGAAATTCATTGACTTACATCATGTAAAGAATTTGTTTTTAACTGGCCAACTGTTTGCATGAACAGCACAAAACTCTGTGGAGGGCTCCATTCCCCCGAGGACTGTAGTTTGCCCAAGCATTTTACTACCAAGAACCATTTCATTGGAGAAGTACAATGCCAAGAAGGAAAAAAAACTTTGGCTTTAAAAAAAAAGTTTTAGTAAGAGTTTTACAGCACTTGCAACACAATAAGGTCATTAAGTGAGGAAGATGAGAGGTAATTACAAGAGCGTAATAAACACAAAAAAGAAAGAGGGGATGTAAGTAAGGATGACAGATAATAATAATAATATGTTTGAAAGGAAAAAAGGAGCAAATTACACCAAAGTACCTGCCAACCACCCACAAAAACCTTTGGGTTAAGGAAAAAATTAATACAACCCCACAAGCTTCTCTACAAATGAAAAGAAAATGAAAGCATCATGCATGGGATGTTGGTGTATGTATCAAAGTCAAAGTTGCACACAGGTTGAAGGAGGAAAACCCATGACAAATGTCTTTTCTCAGAATTTATTTTCATGAAGGAAGCAACACAATATAAAATTTCTTAAAATCCAACAAAATCATTTTATAAATCCAGAAAACACGTATACATAACTTCTTGTACTGTGCACATGAACTGCAAGGACGTCATAAGTAGATATGTATTTACATGATTAAAGACAAACTGATGAGAAATGGTAAAAATGTTAAGAGAAATTTACTAAAACTAAAATATAAAGAACTAAAGAAGTAGCTAAAATAAATGTATTCTGCATGTTTCAAGCCCCTATCTACACAATTTATAGTTCTATTACCTTCTCTGAGAGGACCAAGCCAAATAGGAAATTTGTGTAAAGTGTCATTCCAAGGGACACTACGTCGGACCGAGCTGAGGCTAAATCCGACGAAGTGCCCTTCCTGACGTTTTACTAATGGAATCAACAAACAGCTCAATTCTGCCAGAAAATTGGAACTTCAAAATCTTTTATCAATATCATGTGCAAAGATTTCAAAGTCCTTCCCCCAGCCATGAACCTTTCCAACGAACAGGACCAAAAACTGTTAGTTTTAGGTCAGGCTGACTCATAACATTTCGTTCAGGATGTTTCCACAATTTTGAGCTTTTGAAGGTTCTTGAAGCAAGGCCCACACCTGTGAAAACAGGTACTCAGCCAGCCATCCGGCTGTGTACAAATAAATGCCTTCCTTTGTTATTCATCCCGAACCAAAAACATACACCCCAAAAAAGTCTCAGATGTCAAGACTTGCTTCAGAGCAGCACACAAAAAGAACATTTTATAAACACATATCTTGAAATGAGATCCAGAATATATTGAAAAGCCTTTTTATTTTAACAAATTCTCATTTTTCATTAAGGAAGCAACACAATATCCCTTAAAAATCCAATCCAATACTCAAACTTGTTTTAACAAAATCAATTTAAAAATCCAGAAAACATGTATACATAACTTCTTGTAGTGTGCACATGGACTGCAAGAACATTATAAATAGAATACATGTATTAAAATGATGAAAGACAAACTGATGAGAAAAGGTGAAAAAGTTAATAAGAGAAATTCACTAAAATTTAAAGAAATAAAGAAACAATAAAAATAAAAATCTATTATATTCACAGGCTTAACGCCCCTGTCAACACAATTTAGATCACTTAAGAAGCAGGTTTCCGGCCGTGCCCGTCAGGGCCAACCCAGACTGAGCAGGATACAACATCCCAGCATAAAGACTGATACACTCAATCAAAATTTTCTCCCCATTCTGGAAACAAACTCAGATCTCCGGCATGCTACAGAAAACCGCTAGGTCTACATCAAAGACAATCATTTAAAAAAGGGAAAGAATTCTGTTTTAAAATTTGATTAATACGTAATACGTATCATTAGTATAATAAATCTCTTAAAAATTATATAAGCCACAAGGCACGTCTTTTATGTTTTGTCTTTCAGTAAGTGTTAAAGATCAGTATTTTTACATAAAAATGAACAAATTTAACAAAAATAGCCTTAGCCTCAACGAAAAAGAATCATGACTTGATAAAAATCCAGCAATAACACAAGGTTTAATTTGTTTAAATCAGTTCATCCCCTCTGCTTAGCAGCACCCAAGTTAAAATATTTCAACACAACCTACCCAGCCACTACAAATCACAAACAAAAACACAAACAATGGGGTTATACACAAGATAAGAATTTCTGCTCTAAAAATATCAGGCTCTGACAATTTTTTTACAATTTTCCCTTCAATCGAAAACAGACATAACAAGAAAGTGATGACAATACATGTTTAAATCTTAACTCCATCAGACCATCATCCCTGTACATCGGAAATGCACTAACCAACACCTAGGTCAGATTCCCGGTCAACTAGGAATTGAGAGCTCTTAGCTCTCTACGCCTCACCAAAGAGGCCAAGTATAGGGTTAAGTAAGGGTCGGGGGAGGAGAGGGGGATGCAGGTCTGACAGGTTAAGTTACAAGTTACAGTATCTATTTCCCCCCTGTTCTCAATCCAAATATCTGCATCCTTCTAAAGGAAGCACACAGCACTCACTCGGTGGCTGTTTGATTATTTCTTTCCCACGAGAAGTTTCTGCGAGTTCAGCCTATTTCTAGTATTATTTTGTCGCCCATTTTCTCCTGGCTTGGGCTGATTATGAAAATGCTTTTATTTTTAGGCTTTGGCCAATAATTCTATTTTTAAAAGTTGGAATTGAATTTGAAAGTGGCCAGGAGACACTTGAAGAACTGCGCTATTTCAGCCTGACAGTAAAATATATGACATCACCAGATATGAGCTAAGTGACCAAAACGTACGTAAGCGCTCATGAAGATTCATAGTACTACTACTACGGGAAAGGTCCGAGGTGGTCCAAGGACTGACGGGAATCGAAGTTTGAAAAATTTACTAAAACAGGGTCCTTGAAATATAATATATATAGCCAAACTATCATATCAATTTGAACTTTACTTAAAGTTCAGCTGGAGCTGTACATGTAATTGGATACTACTTGTTTTTCCCTGCGCATGGCAATCATGCATGACAGCTCTAGATGAGTCAAGACTGACCACAATTGGTTTTCTTGTCTCTAATAATAAACAAGATGGCAATCGGTGCTATCCAGTTATACCGCCATCCCCGCTGTACAGCCAACTTAATGCTTGTCCCAGGGTAGGCAGTTATAATGAGGTTTGATTGTAGTTGTATACTTCTTCTTGTAATACAAGTACTCAAAAAACTATACAAAACAGTTCTGACTTAACTGAATAACATAGGCTACTTATTTAGACATTTACTTCCATTTCACTTGAATACAAATTATCATGCTTACTCTTACTCAGCATACATTACTTTTGGAGTGTCACTTCACCAACTCTGGTAACTAGAACAAGGCATTGAGTCAAAGGGCAGAAACTCAGAGGCTGCTGAAGTATACACAAGAACAGTGACAAATATTCAAAGACATGTTCGTGTAAGAAATAAACTTTGAACTGGTAAAAGAATTAACAGACCAGTGTATCTGAATTGTGTTTTGAGGCAACATGTCCCTGTAGTGAACACTTGTGGCTAAAGCGTTGTGAACAATGGACACAGCTAAAGGGTCTTTCCTTCGTGTGGGTCCTCATATGCACAGCCAGATTATGACCTTGGGAAAAACATTTCTGACATAGAGAACACTGGTGCGGTCTGCCGGCAATGTGTTGGTATTGATGACGTTTCAAGTGAAAGGAAAGAGCAAAAGCCTTGCTACAAACTTTACATTTGTAAGGTTTTGCCCTGTGCAGCTTCGCATGATGATTGTTGAGGGCATGTTCATCGGCAAACATCTTGCCACACTGGTCACATGGGATCCGGTCAGTGATACCTTTGTCAGTATTATGGCTTCGCACATGCGTCTGAAAAGCAGACCCAGACTGAATGACTTTGGCACATACATGGCAAACATATTTGTCTCTTTGTTCATATCGTTCATGGTATTTCAAATGTTTCACAAATTTCTTTTTATCAGCAAATACAAGAATGCATTTTGGACATTCCTCAAATATTTTGTTGCCTTCAGCATCCACAGAATCTAAATGTTTGTCCCTCCAGTGAATGTTTAAGTTACCCCAGGTAGAAAACAACTGTTTACACACAAAGCAAAATGGTCCATGAGTCTTACAATGTGTCTCACAAGCTGAAAGAGAAACAAAAATAATTCCGCAATACTTGCACTTTAATTCATCTGGATGCTTGAGTTGAATGTGTTTCTTACGTGTCAACAAGGAAGGAAATTTCTCCTCACAGAAAGAACAGGCAAATTTGGCCGGGGCAGCCTGAAGTATGATTGCCTTTGTTGAATGTCCCTCTTCACTTGATTCTGAAAGTTCCTCATTCATGTCATCTCCTATAGGTTCTTCATTTTCTACCAAATTCTGTCTATCCACTACTGAAATCTCTCCTCCATTCTCCTCTCTCAAATGCCACTTGCGATGCCGATCAAAGCCAGATTGAGTTCTGAAAGAGACCTCACACTGGCCACACTTTAACATTTCAGTCTCATCAACAAGTCCCTGATTATTGTCATCCACTACAGATTCTTCTTGTTCTATCAAATTTTGTTTGTCCACTACTGGAATCTCTCCTCCATTCTTCTCTCTCAAATGCCACTTGCGATGCCGATCAAAGCCAGATTGAGTTCTGAAAGAGACCTCACACTGGCCACACTCTAACATTTCAGTCTCATCAACCTTGGACAAATCCTCAATGCTTTCACTCACACTGTCACTAGAATCACTGTCTTCCACATTCTTAACCTTTGAAAATTCCTTAATCAACTTCTTGCTATCCCTCCGATTCGGGTGTTTCTTTTGTAAATGGCTCACATACTTGGACCTGTTTCGTAGCGGTAAATCACAGTAATGACAGTAACACTCATCTTCTTCCACCACTTTTGATTGCTTCCTTTTCCTGCGGGGTGGGTTCTTACTTTTTTCTTTATCCATTTGATCGGAAGAAGCAACTTCTCCCCTTTGTATATGTAAAAGATCATTTTCACTTATTACGTCTCTCTCAAGTCCAGATATAGCATTTTCAATAATGACAGAACTCATCTCTTCAACCTCAGTCAGTTGCTGTTCCCCTTTGGGAGTAAAAGCCAACAAAGCACTGGATGGGTCACTGACTGAGATAGCAGCCATTTTCACAGGATCAAACAAGACTTGAATGTGAATATTCTTCTCAAAAACTACCGTCATGGGCTGACCAGAGTCTGTTGTTACAATGACACATCCACTCCGGTCAAATTTTTCAAAAACAAAGTTGCTTGTGTCTGCAAAAGGAGTAGCCTTAGTATTTGGATCCTGGATATGCTTTTCAATAGTGCTGTTCTCGATCTCTAGAGCAGGTTGTGATCTGGAATAGTACAAAACAGAACATGGGAATTAGTTTGATTGGACTTTATCTAACTAGGAGATACAAAGCAAGATATATATTGAAAAAGTCGAGTTGTCAGAAACAGGGCTGAGAATAAATGGAGGAAGTATACTGGACACAATCATCCACATCCTAAAAGCCAGTCAATGTGAACCCAAACGTCATTAACCCTTTTCTTACAAAGTGAACACACCACAAGTGATTTTCCTTTTCTTACAAAGTAAATGCACCACTAGTGATTTTCCATGCCCAAGTGTATTTTGGAATTTAAAAGTTTAAATTCGAATGTTGAAGAATCAGATTCTATAGATACCTTATTTTCAGGATCAACAGAAAAACACTATCAAAGTTACAAGTATTTCAAAATCAAGCAGCAAAGTTGATAATGAAACAAAAGAAATCAACGCACATAACACCAATTCTGAAAGAACTAAACTGGCTACCAGTAAAAGAATGGACCGAATACAAAACTGCCATTTTCTGTTTTAAATGTACAAATAATACTGCACCTTTTTATCTTTAAAAATTCCTAGAATTATATCATCCACCCAGAGCCCTTAGATCAGCCTCTGACAATCTAATTCTCAAAACTCCAAAACAAAATTACATAAGCATACGCCAAACGTTCCTTTTTGCTCTTTGGTCCCCACGTATAGAACGAACTTCAATATAAAATAAGATGTGCCCCAACAAAATACATTTTCAAAAAACAGCTGAAGCATTTCTTATTCACAGATACATACCTGACATAATGATGAACTGCTATATATATGCATGTGTATGCCAGATTGTGAGAAAGAAGACATAGCATGTGAGAATAAGAGAAAGAACAAATAGTGTGTGAGAATGAGAGAAAGAGAGAGAGAGAGAAAGAGAGGGAGGGAGAGAGAGAAAGAGTGGGAGAAAGACACAGAGAGAGAGAGAGAGAGAGAGAGAGAGAGAGAGAGAGAGAGAGAGAGAGAAAGAGAGAGAGAACGGAAATGTCTTTCTTTATAGAGATCTAATGTTTTAATGAATATTTCTAGTTATTCAAGTTTCAATTTTATTGTGACCGTTCATGAATTTTTATTGCATTGTTGTATATTTTAAGTGAACGCATTGCCAGGCTCACTGCGAGAATGTTTTTCTAAAAGAAATTTTTTGTAGGCAACATATACATATATATATATCGCTAGCCATGAGATTCAACCGCCTAAGTGCCAAGAGACAAATTTTTCAGGAGAAGCAAAAAACTGCTTTATTTCTTTAAGCTCGTACCTATAAATCAGAAATTCAGATATACAATATAATATGGTGTAGGACGATGGTCTGCAACTAACTTTTAAAAAAAAACAGCTTTCTTACATAAGTAACTGGACATAGGCGGTTTAGACCTACCAAAACATGCGTGATTCAACTGCCTAAGTGACAGAATGACAGAGCCTGGGCATATGAATCACATTAATCAACGCCATAAGACGAGCGTCAATGGTTGCTTGGGCGTTTGAGTAATCGACAAAAGCAAATCATAATAGTTTTAAGAGTAATTATAAAGTTAAGAGTAACTTTTTCAGTTACTTGGTTGGGTCTTATGGGGCAGGAGGACTGTTTTTGGCCTCATGAAGTTGGTAAAAACTTAACGTTCAATTTGTACAGGATGTTTTTGTTCAGTGGGTATCAAAGGCAACGAACGTTTGTGACAACGGGGTCGTTTTTGTTTAAGCCAGGTCTAAATGGTCCAGAAATTGAACACACACAAAAAAAGGCAGGGG